TGGAGAGCGAAAGATCTGTTGGAGCTGATACATATTGACGTCTACGGACCAATAAGGATGGCATCACACGAGAACAACAGGTACTTCATACTATTCATTAATTACTTCTCTAGAATGACATGAGTCTATTTCCTAAAAGAAAAAAAAGAAGTTTTTGGAGTATTCAAAAAGTTCAAGGCCCTTGTTGCAAATCAAAGTGGAAAACGGATAAAAGTACTAAGAAGTGATCGAGGCAAAGAGTACACCTCCCACGAGTTTGATAGATTTTATGAGGATGGAGGAATTGAGCGACAACTTACGCTCGCATATTCTTCTCAACAAAATGGTGTGCCAGAGAGAAAGAATCGCACAGTTATGGAAATGGCTAGATCGATCCTCAAGGAGAAGGGACTTTCAAACACATTCTGGACTGAAGCAGTATACACTGCTGTTTACATACTCAACCGTTACCCAACTAAGGAAGTATAAGATAATACTTTAATTGAAGCTTGGAACGGAAAGAAGCCATCAGCAAAGAACCTAAGGGTCTTTGGATCTATATGCTACATTCATATTCCAAACGTGAAGAGGCACAAGCTTGAAGACAAGACTATACGAGGTATCTTCCTGGGGTATAGCACAATCTCTAAAGGTTACCGTGTCTACAACTTGCAAAAAAAAATCATCATCAGTCGAGATGTTGAAGTTGATAAGAATGCTTCTTGGAATTGGGATCAAGAAAAAATGGAGAAGAACATCCTTATACCAGATCAACTACCTCAAGAAGAAGTTGAGGAAGAAGACCCAGGTGAATCTGTTTCACCTCCATCACAATAACAAGATCAAGAACTATCATCACCAGAGTCTACTCCAAGACGAGTAAGATCTTTGGTGGACATATATGAAACCTGTAACTTGGACATACTTGAACCTGTAAGCTTTGAAGAAGCATCAAAGCAGGAAGTATGGGTTAAGACAATGGAAGAAGATATAAAGATGATCGAAAAAAACAACACATGGGAGTTAGTAAATCGTCCCCTTGGAAAAGATATCATTGGGGTTAAGTGGGTCTATAAGACAAAGCTCAACCCTGATGGCACCATGCAGAAATAAAAGGCAAGACTAGTAGCTAAAGGTTACTCACAACAACCTGGGATTGACTTCAATGAGACATTTGCACCAGTAACTCGTCTTGATACCATTAGAGCTCTAATAGCTCTTGCGGCACAAAAAGGATGGAGTATCCATCAACTAGATGTAAAATTTTTCTTCCTGAATGGCGTAGTTGAAGAAGAGATCTATGTCGAGCAGCCACAAGGATTCATGTCTAAAGGAGAAGAAAGAAAAGTGTTAAAACTAAGAAAAGAACTCTACAGTTTGAAGCAATCACCTCGAGCATGGTATAGAAAAATCGATCAGTATTTCATGGGTCGAGGATTCAGGAGGAGCAAGAGTGAGCCTACACTTTACATTAAGTCTCAAGGTAATTACATTCTCTTACTCTCTCTCTATATGTAGATGATCTTATCTACACGGGAAATAATACTAAGATGATGATGGATTTTAAAGAAGACATGATGAAGACCTTTGAGATGACCGACCTTGGTTTGATGAGTTACTTTCTCTGTATAGAAGTAAGTCAGAGAAATGAAGGGATATTCATCTCGCAAAAGAAATACACAAAAGACTTACTTAAGAAATTCAAGATGTATGGTTGAAAACTTGTTGCTACTCTACTCATAAAAAATGAGAAACTAAAGAAGAATGATGGAGCACCAGAAGTTGATGCTTCCATATACAGAAGTCTAGTTGGAAGCATCCTATATTTGACAGCTACATGGCCATACATAATGTATGCTACAAGTCTTCTATCAAGATTCATGCAAAGCCCAAGTTAAATACACTTTGGAGCAGGAAAAAGAATTTTGAGGTATCTACAAGGAACAAAAGAATTAGGTATATGGTACACTACCGAAACCAACTCAGGATTACTTGGCTACACCGACAATGATTGGACAGGTTCAGTAGATGACATAAAGAGCACTGCTGATTATGCTTTCTCACTAGGATCAGGAATTTTCTCTTGGGTGTTGAAAAAGCAAGCTACGATTGCACAATCCACAGCAGAAGCAGAGTATATGGCAGCTATTGAAGAAACGATTCAAGCTATATGGCTTCGCAGGATACTTGAAGACATGAGAGAAAAATAGGATGGGCCTACTAAAATCAATTGCAACAACAAATCAGCAATTGCAATGGCAAAAACTCCAGTACATCACAACAGAACAAAACACATACCAATCAAGTATCACTTTACCAGAGAAGTTGAAGAAACTATAGAGATCAAACTCGACTACTGCGAAACAGAAGATCAAATTGCAGATACATTCACGAAAGCATTGTCGAGACCAAGTTTTGAAGAGCTACGATGTATGCTTGGAGTCACAGAAATTTGTATCAAGGAGGAGTGTTGAAATTGCTACAAATTTCTAGAATATTTTTAAATATAATATGCATGAAAATGGTAGAAGATCAAGAATTATAATGTTTATGAATACGGTAGAACAATCTAGAACTATAAGCATATGAAAATGATAGAAGAACTTAGAACTATCATGATACTCATCTATCATGAAAACTCTAGAAAGAACTAATGTAATATAGAAATATTCACCATCATTAGGAGGTTGGTGACTTGAGCATATAAAAATGCAATTGGTATCTTGTAATTTATGATCTAAGAAATCAATGACATAGCCTTCTTTCTAAACAATTCTCTAAAACTATATTTTATCAACTATCGACTAATCAACTACTAATAGCCTCACACTTGTAAATTAGTGAAAATGTCAAAATTATTATAATTAAGGATGTTCATGGTACAATGAGAAAATGGAATCGAACGAACCATAATAAAAGTTCACTTGAACTGAACCGAACTATTTCAGTTTACTCAGAACTCAATCGAACCAAAACAGTTGGTTTGGTATACCGTTTGTAAATTTCAAACGGTAGAAAACATTTTTTTCTCAAATTTAACTATTTATTAAAAAATCTAACCATTAAATTATTTTTCAATTTTTTTAAAAATTATTTAAAACTTGTTTTTAGTATTTTTTTTTCATTTTTAATTTTGATTTGGTTCAGTTTGATTTTAGTTTCGGTTTGGTTTTAGAACCGTTTTGTGTAATATGGTTTGCTTCACAAACCAAATATAACGGTTTGATTACTTTACCTTCAAATCGGTTCGGTTTGGCATTTGGTGCAGTTCATAGTTTTTTTTTAACAATCCTAATTATAATTGTTGCATGCTTAACAACAAGTGAGAAAGTCGCGTTGAAATCAAAACCATGTTTTGATGAAAGCCTTTTGCCATAAGTATGGCTTTGTACTTGTTGACACTTCCATTAGAGTTTTCATTTACTTTAAAAACCAATTTACATCCAATGGATTGTATGTGTGAGAGAAGAATGGTGAGGGCCCATGTGTTTTTGGATAATAATGCATTGTATTCTTGTTGCATAGCTTTAAGCCATTTTGGTTGAGCCAGTGCTAGTTTGATGGTTGTAGGTTCAGCATGTGTCACACTCTAATTTTAAACTCTAATATCTCACCTCTCTGTGCATCATTTGGCATAACATTTCTAGGTCAATCATACCTGCATAGCTAACCAAATCTTTATGCTTTATTATTTTATGTTTGTTCACTGTCGAATTAGGAATTTGCTTCAAAGGGGCCTCAAGAGTTAGTCAGTCAAGTATTGAGTGCACCATCAACCAAGTACACTGGATGCAAGTGAATACTCATTCTCACAAGTACCTCAAGATATGGCTAGCTGTTTCTGATTCAAAGTAATCCTAGAGTTTTCTACTGGGTCACTTCCCTCAAGATTCCTCAGAAGCTTCAATATATACTTAGGGAGCATTAGGGTTTTCTTCTATTAATATTGAGCATAAGAATTTGAGAACTAGGGCATTAATCTCAAACCTGAGTTTGTTGGGTTCTTGGTGATTTAGGCTCTAGATTTTCAAGTCTGGTTGCAATATGGTGTTGTCTTGAGAGTATTATTCTTTGAATAATTTTGGTCCATTGTTAAGAGGTTTTCATAATATGATCACCATTCAAACGTCCAAATTCGAAGGAATGGTTTGTCATGATAAGCACCCTCATGAAATATGCTAATTGATTTTAAAACTGGTGATCCGATTTGATCCCAAGATTTAGGTTGTGTCCATAATATCCAAATTGGAAATATCAAATTCAAGTTCAAGTCATCGTTTCAAGATTTTTGTTCAAGTTGTAATCTCAAAGAAGTTTTATGAAGAGCAAGTATTGATTCAAGGTCTTAATGTCATAATTTGTCAATAATGGATTCAAGGTTTTAATGTCATAATTTGTCAATAATAGATTCAAGGCTTTTCTCATGCGGTCTCTTAGCATATAAGATACAAAGGCATACACTTTGTTTCCACACATTACCTAAGTTCAAAAATATTATGCTCACCATCTATTCGGAATTCGTTTGTTCAAGTTCAAATATCAAAGGCCATCACACCATATACTAATACACCATTCGAATATTTTCTAAGAACCGTACTCCTACCGTACTTTAATTTACCCAAAATTACAAGGAAACATGAACTTGAAAGTTTACAATTCAAAGCCTTCATTGCCAAATGTACAAGCTAACATGTTAGTTACAAAGACAACCAAGCATAACTTTCATAATTTGAATCCAATTACATTACTTCATAGGTTTCCCAAAGTTTTGTTCATTGGCTTCAATTGCAATTTTGGAGTATGGCCGTACAGGATCTATACAACGAAATCTAAAAGTAATGTGACAAGATTTGCACTTGAAAAAAAGACATTGTGAACCTATTAGTACATTACAAAAGTCTACATGAAATATCTGAAGGACTTGCTGATTAAGGCAGTAGAACCACACCTTCTGATGCTGCCAAGAACCAGATCACCGCAAACATTATCAACGCCTTCCTCGACGTGAAAATGTATATTGGTCATAGAGCGTCTGATGCATCTGTTGAGAGTGATATGAAGTTGTGGCCCTTTTTGCTGGTCTTAATGTCATACGAATCATTAACGAACCAACACCTACCGCTCCTGTATATAGCTTTAACAAGAGAGCCAAATGTGTCAAGACTTTTGCATTCATCCAAACTATACCTAAAGCAATACATAGAACAAAACCCAAACAATAAATTGCAGTCAACAAATCAATCCACCAAACTTAACCAAAACAACTCGCAGCAAAATATTCTCAACTCCAATGGTTATAACGTACGGACCTTGTTTGAATCACGGCTATTATGGATAGATTCATCGTCAAGAGCACCGATATTTACATGACGCCACCTACCGTATCCTTGACACTATTTTTTTCGAGACCGTTGTCTGCATATAAGAAAATCCATGAAGTTAAAATCATATAGGAGGAACTCGACCGCTATCACGAACTTACCGCATTAGGCATAGTTTTGCATTGGTCCTACTAGCATGGCTGTTTGGTAATGCTGCAAAGGTTCTCCAAAACACTCTCACAAGGTCAATTCCATCATGGTACCTACAGCTTGCAACGGTTACAAATATAATCAAGCATACAAAGTTCAAGATGATGCACAATTACTACCATGAAAATATGCTGCAACAAATCTGGTTCCAGTTGTACTGAATGAAACAGTATAACAATTGGTTTTGAAGAATCTTGATGTTATCCGTGTTAATAACCTAAACGAGCATACTAAAATCATGTTATTGTCCCCCTCACTTATGGTAACATTAAAGCTAAAGAGGGAACTTTTAACTCTAAAACCCTGTTAGAATAAAGAAATGTTAAACACACTCAAGCAATAATGTTTTTCATGGACAGATCATTTATTTGATATCAATGATAGTGAAACATTGCTTCAAATACCTTGTTGTATGATTATGGTAGCAGACGGAAAACATCAGGTGCTGTTATATGCTCCACCGTGACAATATGCTACCTCACTCTGGGAATTCAAGTTGGCCAGGAAGAAATTGGACATCTGCATCGACAACCACACCATAGGTCATCAAACGCGAACGAATAAGAGACAGCAAGAGGAAATTAAATAGTCATGGCAAATCAACTATGACACCCCCATCCTTTCTTTCGTACCCCTTGGATGTTGGAATGAGCTTTTTTTGTGGGCCGGTGACTTTGGGTTCATTGCTTTTTGCCAGCCTTAATCCACTATGGCACCCTTTTTGCTTTTGTTTTTCATGGATTCCTTGATTTAATTTTGATATTAAGTTATTGGTTAATTTTGTTTTTTTATTTAATTATGATATTAATCTGGACTCTAATTTTCTATTTTAGTTTATTTTTTATTTATTTTTTTTAATCTGGATTTTGATGTTGATTTTTTTTTGTTTAAAACTTGACAATAATTTCGACATTCGATTTTGAGGGTATGTTTTGATCTAGATTGAATATTATGTTTTGGTTTTGATTGTGATTTTGGTTAATCCTGATGCCATTTGTAACTAAATCCTGATGAGAAGTATGTGATCTTAATCATGACTATTTTCTTTGATAATTTTGAACCTCTGATTGATTACCTTGGTGATCATGAATTACTTTTGATCCACATACTTATGCATTTCTTAGTTTCCATACATGCTTGACATGATATATATATATATATATATATATATATATATATATATATATATATATATATATATATATATATATATATATATATATATATATATATATATATATATATATATATATATATATATATATATATATATATATATATATATATATATATATATATATATATATATATATATATATATATATATATATATATATATATATATATATATATATATATATATGTATATATGTATATATATATATATATGTATATATATATATATATATATATATATATATATATATATATATATATATATATATATATATATATATATATATATATATATATATATATATATATATATATATATATATATATATATATATATGTATATATGTATATATATATATATATATATATATATATATATATATATATATATATATATATATATATATATATATATATATATATATATATATATATATATATATATGTATATATGTATATATGTATATATATATATATATGTATATATATATATATATGTATATATGTATATATATATATATGTATATATATATATATGTATATATATATATATGTATATATATATATATGTATATATATATATATGTATATATATATATATATATATATATATATGTATATATATATATATATATATATATATATATATATATATATATATATATATATATATATATATATATATATATATATATATATATATATATATATATATATATATATATATATATATATATATATATATATATATATCGTTTTATAAGTTGGTTGTATTGTATTGCATATCTAATATGATGATTATTCAATCATAAATTATAGGTTTAATGCTTAATGCTTCTATCTGTTCTCTTTTTAATAATACATTTACATGTTCATGTCCAAGGGAAGAACTTGTGTGTGACTTTATAAGTCATACACACTACATTATTCATTTGTATCATCTTCCCTTGCTTGATCCCTGATTCCTCTCAGGTTGATCAGCGTAGCTACATTCTTATTCCTTAAGATAGGTACCCTTAAGATTTCAACTTTGACAACTTATCAGATAAAACCCTCACATTCTCTTACAAGAGAATTAGACATGGTTCATCTATGTAGTCGAGATATAATTCTCCTACCCCATAACATAATCGAGAAATATGTAGTATCTTTTTCGCTTGGGAGAGGTACGTGGCATACTCGTCGATTAAATCCGAGTTGGAGCCCTTCTCTCAAAGCGACGCAAAGACCGCCTTCCATATGTTTTTGGAGGTTTAAGTTAAGTATTCTCCTTTAGATGACGACTTTTCTCTTATCCTAGAATCAATCAACAAACCTTCTCCCCTTGGAACTTTGACCATATTTAGTGGTTCCTCAATCCCTTTAGGGAAACTACGAATGCTCTTATTCCACTTCCGTCAGGATACGTAGGCACAAGATGTGATTTCTTAGCGAGCATAATTAGAATTAAACCCCTAGGTCTCTCACTCTTAGAAAACAACAATAACACGATATAACAAGAGGTTCCTGTAGAGTACTTGTGATACTTAGGATGCTAGCACCTTCCCTAGGTATAGCCAACCCCCAAACCTTAGATTCTCTAGCTTTGCATTGCATAATCATGGGTTATTCGATCTTTTTTCCCTTCCCTTTGACAAATTAAAGACCGGTGATGAATAATAATTTGCGATTCAAGTTAACCAATAGCTTGATATCTAATTCTCACCGCGACAGCATGGTTAAGAATAATTTTGGTATGGAATTTCCCAATTTTGCTCCAGTAATCATGGCATATTCATTGACTGACAATGTTGGCTTATATTAGTTATTGTAAAAGGAATGATATAGTGATATTTCAATGTTTAGATTTGTAATAGACACAGTTTGAAAGACAATGTTGTTGACAGTATTTGAGGGAACACTAGCTTGAGGAAGATTAGGGTTCCTATGTGTAAACCTAGACAGAGAACTACGTAGATTAAGACTAGGTAGATTATTAGTTGATGCATATTTAGGTTTGAAAATATGTTCATTGGATATTAGGTTTCCTTGCTGCATATTAGGATTAATAGATAAAAGAACATTTGTAGCAGGTAGAGGAGAAAAACTGACACGTGTATTCTCTTTATTAGCTGGACTAGTATGAATCATATTTTGAAGGGGACTTAACATTGAAAGGCTGCTAAGGATTTATTGTAATAACAAGGTGTTGCACCCCAAAAATTGCTCAACCTTTTCCTTCTTGTTTTTGCATTAGCATAACATCATCAAAGCATTATCATAGCATTGCATTAGCATTTATGTAGGGGATCAAGTGTGATATACATCAAGAGAGACCTATCTAGAGGTTTTATTCGAGCTTGAGGAATCATTAAAGTCACCAGGAAGTGGTTCATGCCCTTGAGAAGTTCAGATGCTTGTATGGGGTTCATCCCTTGACTTAGAGGTCAACTGAAGATTATCAATGAGTTGGAAAACTATGATTACAGGTCATAAAATTACAAGTCAAGTTCAATACTTTGCATAACTCAAATGGAATTTTTTCCAACATGAAAGTTGCTCCGAATGGCGTCATTGGGTCAACTAAACCTCAAGGTTTTAATGGGTTAGCTCATGGTGGAAGTTTGATAAAAGTCACTTTGGTGAAAACATGTGAAAAGGCATGGTTTGGTATTTTGTCAAAAATTAATCAAATAAGTTCATGTTTGTACTTATTTAGAATGAAAATCATGTTTTAAGAATAATGGCACTTTTACATTTTTCATTTGAGGATTTTATCATGGTCTATTTCGAGATTTCTTACAATTCAAGTAACACTTTGGATTTTTGCCTTAAGACTAGAAACAAGGAACTATTTTTGGCCTTGGAAGTTTCTTATGATGCATGAAATGTATATAAACCAAAATCAAGGCTTTACATTTCTTCTTCCACCATTTTTCATTTCCCCACAATTTTCTACATTTGAAAAATTGATTTTTCAATTCCTTTTTCTCTCTACTTTTTTGATCCTTTCTCATTGCAAATACATTCAATATACTCCATAGAATTTTTCCATCAATTTTTGAGAAGTTTTTAGTGCAACACCATGGTTGTAGTAACATGAAAAGTAAGCTCCAAGTGAAAATTGATTTTCATTTTCTTCACCAATTCAAGCATTCTCCTTCATCCTAATACCTCTACCATGGATTGTTGAATGTTTCTACATAATTTTCCAAAGAAATTTGTGCTCCATTGAAGCTCAAAAGAGTCATTTTCGGAGGTATAAAGAATTCACCATAACTCATGATTTATGAGTCTTTCTTGCATTATTGTTGTTGCATTACATTTCTCTCATCTCCTACATGGATTCTAGTACAAAAAAGATGGTTTTTATGACATTTTTGTGTTTTGAAAGTTTGAGATTCAACCACGGTTTTTGAGTTAGAGGCCATTTCAAGGGAAACTAAGGGCATATTCTTAATCCCCATAAAATTTCACACAAGTTTCATCTAAGAATCATGGATTTTCATTAAGAAATGAGAGAGTTAGAGATTGAGGAAGGTGGATGTTGAAGCATTGGGTTTCACGTGTTCATGGCTGAGTTTTCTCATTCAAATGTTCAAAGGAAGAAGATGATGCTTCCACCGTTAGATCATTCCAAAGCCTTTGACTTGGACTT